GGGTTTTGAAAGGAGAGTCAGGCCTTTCTAGAATGCATATTGTGGTGTAGTATCACGTGACTAGTACGTAGTATATATTGCGATAATCTTTCGTATCGTACGTAGATAAGCACCTTCAATCAATCCCTTCACAGCGATTACTTTTCAGCTTGATTCTATCTACTCGATTGTGGGTCGCCCCTCTGATCTTTTGAGCTCGATCACGTATCGTGCCACAATATATATGTATATAAAACAGCTTTCAATACATCTTCTTGTCGCTTCTTTCTCCAAACTAGTAGTTCTACTCTCAGTGCCAACATTTGTGAAGAAGGAACTCGTGACTGCTGGAGTGCTCGTGTGAGTGCCTCAGATAAGCAGTGGTCGGTGCGAACTTCTTAATCACTACAAGAGTCAAATACGACGGTACGCTAGCCAGATATAGCATGTTTAGTAGTACCGGAAGACTTGGATAAATTAACAAGACCCATGAATTACGCTTCGTAAAGACATACCGCAGAACTCCCGTACGGAGACAGAAGACCAAAACCAGTGTAGTAGCTAATCTTGCGAATACGACGATCACTTGAGTCATGCCGCTCGATATTAGACATTTCACTATACACATTTTTCTCATATATCTTGTGGATATAATGACTTAATTAGCTTAATTCTGGATTTTACGAAGAGTCAAAATCTACACTCCTGATGTATCAACGTATACTAGTTTTATCGTGGTGCCCAGACTCTTGGCTAAAATGCCTAAAAGACTACCGCCAGCCCAAACTACTTTGGATGACGTATGATAACAGAGCTCGTCAAAGCTGGTAGAGACAGCTCTCTCCTGGAGATGTACACGAGGATAGAGCCGGTGGATGCTAAACACATAGTGAGCCTCACAAACGTGGCCAACCCCGGTCGTCATACGTACTTTGGTGCGCCCAGTCCGGCGCCCAGCCCGGCCAACCTAATTGGCCCATCTGGGCAACCTTGGGAGCCTCTTACCTACGTACGTCGGCCATGCAGGGAGGCTAACGCCGGCTTTTGAGGCGCAAGATCAACACAATACTACGCGTCTCATATCTCGGCCGTTTCCCCAAGTCTTGAGCTGTGTTAGTCCGCTTCACCAGCCTCAGTCTGGGAGCTTGGTTTCCTTCCTGTATCCAACTGAAGACGTAAGGATCCTCAATGCCAGACGCCCGTCGTATGCACAGTTGCATTCCGCCCAGAAGACAGCATCAAACACCGCAATGGGCCGCAGCACACGCTCATCATTCGACAGCGATTTCTCTCTCCGACGACGACGAGGAATCGCAATGCCGGCAAACCTGTCGCCCATGAAGTCGCCTTCAAACTTTAAAATACCTCTCTTTCCTCACCCTCGCCATATCCCTCATCTTCTACCTCACACACACCACCCCATCCCCATCCCTCTCCCCGCCGCTCCTCGCCTCAGACCCCTCGTCCACTCCCCCCCAAGATGACAAGCCCCGTTCGCAAATCGGCAAAGCAACCGCCTCCTTCGGCCCCAAAGACACCACCTACGAAGCCGCAATCTCCTCGCACCACACCCACGATACCCTCCACGGGTATCCGCACTTCATCCTGCGCCAGCGCATGCCCCCGGGCCTATGGTCCCAAACACGCCTTCCTCCTCACCCTCCTCGGCACCGAACTTGTCCAAACCCGCCCAACACCGCCTTGCCTGGCTCTTCTGGCACGACCGCGATACCATCCTCATGAATCCCAACATTCCCCTGGAAATCTTTCTGCCCCCGCCGGAAACAGAGTTGGGCGCGAACCTGACGGGAAGCCATGTGCATTTGATTGTTACGAATGACCGGCATGGGTTGAACAATGGTGTGTTTTTTTTTTCCTGAGGGTCGGCGAGTGGGGCAGTGCGGTTTTTGAGCGCGAGTTTGAGCTTGAGAGTGTGCGATCCAAATGTTGCCCTCAAGTACTCTGAGCAGAGTGCTATGGAGATTGTCGCGGGAAGGGTACGTTATCTTTTTTTTCTTCTTTTCTCCTCTCTTTAAATACCCGTCGTCTTCCCCTCTGCGCTCGCCATATTTCATACAACAGTTTGTATTTGTTTTTTTTTAAAGAAAAATAAAAAAAGGAGTGAGAAGAGCAAAGCAATGCAAGAGGAATAAAGAGAAAGAAAAATAAAAAAAAGATTCAACTGACGTTTACCATGTAACTTACCAGCCCCACTTCTCCCCAAACATCATCCACGTCTCCCCAACGCTGGTTCAACGCTTACCCACCCCCTTCTACCACCACCACCACCATCTGCCCCATCCGCCGCACGCACAGGTTCACTTCTCATGCACTTCGCGTCGAACCGCGACGGCAAGCGGCCAGAGCGCATGGCGCAGTGGCAGCGCATCGCCGCATCACCCCGTAACGAATGGAACAAGGCGCTGAATTCGACACGGTATGTTAGCGAAATGGACGAGTTCTGGCGGGGATTGGGTGAGGGCGAGGACGAAGGCTGTGTAGTGAATGATATCGGGGGTAGAAAATAGGATTGAAGTTTTGTTGCAAAAAAAGAAGGAGAAGAAGAAGAGGGGAATTCAATTGGATATATATATAAAGGAGGTTAAATACTAACAAAACGAAGAACAAAACAAAGGTGGAGAAGAGAAAGAGAGAGAGAGGTAAAGGTATCATTTCCCCTTTCAAACACTCATTTCAATCCCACCATCCCTAGTACTCTCAGGCACACGCACAATACTACTCCGAATCACGCTCCGCCCCTCTTTATCCGCTGCATCCTGCGCTGCTGCTGCTGCTGCGGCGCGGGCGAGCAAAGGGGACCGATGGGTCCACATACCACCTGCATTTACACTAGGAGGAGGTCCCGACACAAGTGCTTCTCTGACATCGACTGCGGAATCCACAATGCCCAGTCCATGTACTCGATCCCCCAGGTCCGCCATGGCATCAACCTGCTGATGCTGATGCTGATGCTGCTGCGGCGGTTGGTGTCGAGTCCTCCGGGCCGCATATGCCATTTGTTCCATCGAACCCGGTAGATAGATGCGCTTAGCACCGAGGGTGCGCTTGATGTCTTCGAGCAGGACCTCCATGGGACAGATGTACGCGATACGGTTTTTGTGGCAGAAAGCGAGGACGTGGCCAACGACTTTGTGCTTGCCGTTTTGCACTACCCACGCGCCGCTGTCGCCGCCGATGCCAAAGTCGCCGGCTACGTGCCAGGAGCGGGAAAAGGATTTGCGGTGGTAGATGCGCACGGCGGACATGACGGAACTGATCATGCCGCCTTGGAGGCCGGTTGTGCGACCAAAGCAGTGGACAGCGAGACCGCCAAGGGAAGAGGCGGGCGCGACGCCGTTGGGGTACTCGTCTTCTTCGGCGGTGTATTGGCGGCGGTCCACAGGCGCCTTGAGTTTGGAGGCTATGATGCGTTGTTCGGGCGTCATGTTGCCGAAGCAGAAGCGGCGGCCGCCCTGGCAAATGTTGTACGGTTGGAGACGGTCTTCTTTGAGCTTGAGGAGGGCCCAGTCGATTTCGTGGAGGATGCCATCGCGCTTCCAGCGACGGATGCCGGACGAGGCGTGGACGTGGCCTAGTTCGTGGGAAGAGAGATGGTCGTCGTCGCGGTCTTCTTCGTTGGGAAAAAAGTCTGGGTCTACGTCGTCAAGGGCTGGCTGGGTAATTCGGATCTCTTCGCCCTCGCCGGGCAGGATGCCATCGATATCGCCTGTAGTTGCACGTGACATGGCAGACTCAGCCATGTCTATCCCTGGTTAGTTTGATGGCCGTATGGCGAAGTTTGTCAACATACCCTCAGCGGACTCATCGTCTGATTCGAATTCGCTGTCGGAAAAGTCAAACGAGTCAGCGTCGACCTCGTCATCTTCGCTTCTTAGGTCCTCGTCATCAGATAGTTCAAGATTCCACATGGGGGCAGGCTCCTCTGACTCCAAGTAAACACCTGGCTGTGTGCCCATACCCATCAACCAGGGGTTGTTGGCTGCACTTGACAACGTGGTTTCGTTTGGATATGGCCTGTCGTAGTCTTCGCCACCATCGCTCTCATCGTCTGATGGCGCGTCGAGCAGGTGGTGAACACTCATACCCAATGGCTCATCATCGACTAGAATGACTCCACCATATGAAACTGGTGGTAGGTGCTGTCC